AGCACGTAAAGACCACCACCATTTCACAAAAGCAATTTAAAATAACTTCAGAACTTTCAGGGGCTGAGGTGCATTCTTTTGGAACATTTTGCTTCCGCCAGAGTTGGAACTGCAGTGGTCTGTGCTACTACATGGCAGGAATTAATCCTGTCTTCAGGTCTTATAAACATGGAGAAAGTGTATATAACTTCCTTCAAGATTTACCCACAAGAAGAGAAGACTCTAAAAAGCCTAACATTAGCCTTCCTAAAGATGAAATCCTTGCATTCATTACTCCTGGAATACAGTCCAGCTAGTATTTCCTCCACCTATCTCAGTACTCATGATGGAGGGCTGTGATCTGAAGCACAAGAATGTTTTATGGTCTGACCAGAAGACAGTGTTCTCGGAATAATTTCAGAAAATTTCAGAATAACTGAAGTGTATTCACAATGGCTACCCAGTTAGTTGTACTGGATTTGCATTGTGTAACACTGTTGCTGATGTGTGGAATTGATCTTTAACACCTGTTTTTGGGCAGATACTCCTCTGCAATATATCTGGTTTCCTTTTCAGGGCAATTCAAGATGTTTACATGTAGAAGAACTTCATGTTTAGATGTAAGAAGAAAGTATACTTGAAGTGCTTTGCATCTTCTATATGGTCATATTGGCATTATATGAAGGCTAGAACACCAAGTTTACTCTTTTTTGTTCTCCTTCCTCCGTATATACTTCATTTCCTGAGATGGACTGGAGCGATAGGTATATATTCTTCTGTATTGGGTCTACTCCTATACAGAAATCTTCTCTAATTTCCTCCTGTAAGGTCAACCCAATATATATGAAGTGCAGAGTGTAATAATGTGTTTGAAACTGAAAGGTATCGAAAGTTTCCTGCTTCATTGGAGTTCTACATTCTGCAAAGTCAGCCAGAGGGGATTTCAACAGAGTTAGAAACATGTATTTCTAAAAAACCTGTACATTAGGAAAACTTCCAAGACCTGACAGTTCCAAAGGCTGTATTTAGGGATGCATAAAATAATAAGTGGTCTGATCTAACCCCAAAGTTAACCTGAACCATTTTAAAGGCGTTTTCCATGGCTTTTATAATTATTTTCCCCTAACCCAATACACATCTGGTTCTAGTTGGCACCAAAAGATAGACATATTTAAATGTCATGAAAAAGGCTAATCTTGTATTTCTGTCTTGTTGGGAGACAGAAAGGCAGTTTTCCTTGGAAATCCAGCCACTTTTTACATAGTCAAGTGATTTACACAGCTCAGAGAAGAATTCAAATTTTTGTGTCAGCTGAACTGACCCTCTCAACCTCCAGAGGCTCATTCATCACTAGGTAGAGGTTACTAGAAGGCACTGGAAAGGCTGCTCAGTCTTACAGCCAGCCATGAAGTTCTTGATCTTTTGTGTCCTTGCTCTTTCCTCTAGGAAAATCCAATAAATGGAACAGTATTTAAGAACACTTTTTGACAGGGAAAAGAAGTGGTGCAGTATACAAAATGCTACACAAAGAAAACAGGTCCAAATCTTGTGATTCCGCATTAATCTTTACTTTTATCTTACTCAGTTAAACTCTTGTTAACAAGGTAGATTTGAGTAAAAGTAACAACATTAATATGAACTCTGGGACTGTTGAATATTTAGCAGTATTACTGCAATTCATCTACACAAAACCCTCTAGTCATAAGGCAAATTTTCCATAAATAGCCTAAGTTCAGTTTGTGGTAGTGATATCGCCCCTGGAATATTTCTGAAGAATTGGATTGCAAGCGTTTAAGATTTAATGAAAACCAATAGCAATGAGTTGCTGAAGCTACTGTCAAAATGATACATGGTTTTTAAGTGACTTTAACAGTTTTGAATATTCAACCCATGAGCCACTTGTACAATGATACTACAAGGTGATACATATGCACTTAGTGTCTTCTTTCACAAAAGGAAAACCTGAAACCAAAGCTTGCCATGACTACAAGGAAAGGCTCACACTGAATTTAGAAATCAAACATCCTTGCACACATTTTCATGCTCAGACCATGCTTCTCTTTATGTCCTTACTACATCCACAGTAAAAGACATGCCTACCAGTGATGAAATACTGATGTTTCGCAAGTCTTATCTTCTTGGTAGGGTCTGCTGGCTTCTTTATGGCAGAATAGAACTCAAAGCATATATTGGAAGAACACGTTAATACTTTAAGTATGTAAAAAACAATTTGTGAAGAATGTGTCCGCTTACCTTTTTGATCTTCTTTTTTTCCTTCTGATGCTGATGCTTTCTCTGATAAAGTACCATTATCTTCACTGGCTTTTAGCACATTTTCTTCCTGTATAGTTTCTTCACCAATAGCTATGGTGTGTCCATTTGAAGTTTCAAAATTTACCGTTACATCACCATCTGAAATGAAAATTAAAAAGCTATTGCCTAGTTTAACTGCTTCCTTAGCACCTATTAACAACCCACAGCATCCCTGTGCTTTCAAGTTTCTATGGAAGCAAAGCAGAAAGACTTACTCAAATGTGAAACATCCAGGCTGCAGATCTGCTCAGAAAAGTAACTATGTAGAGGAACTCTATAGGCTTCCACATTCTCTAGGTGGTCACCTCTGCAGTAGCGGGCCTGGAAGTGCATGTGGGTTTTCAGGTCCAGCTTTACGTCTGTACACATTCGTGTCCTGTTCTCTTCCTTCCTGCATCTTGGTTTACACAGCAAAGAAATGTGTGCATGGACCACAACGGAGCTGCAATGTGTTCCAATATGCCCCAAATATGGACAATTAGGGGGCAGAATTGCATGACTACTGTGGTGCATCCCAGCAGGTAAATCAGCCAAGAAATTCAGACAGAAGTTCTCAGAATATGTGTGCTCAGTTAATGAACTAAGAATCAAGGTGAAGTCTTCCTACATCACGTGTCACATACCATAATTAAATTCTGTGTGAAATTCTTTCCCAGCTCTGATGATACTTTACTCACCCAGACTACCTCAGATACGAGGTTCTTTTTTAAACCTGAAAAAAACTTCTTTTCCTTCTTATTTTTCTCTATATTCCTGAAAAATGCCACATACTCTTGCTGGTTCACAGCTTGCTTTTTTCCCATATTTACTGCTTTCTGTTCTCTTTGCTGCAGATTTTCTTCTCTGGTCATTTCTAAGGCTTGTTATCCTTGGTTGTTCATGCCCCACCTGCAGTTCACTCAGATGACTGCTTTACTTCTGCAGAATTCTCTTGCTGACCATCCAAAAATTATACAAAAATCTACTGGGCATCTCTTCTGGTTCCTCCCACTGGTTCTTCATTAATTGTGGTAAATCCACTCTGCTCTTCTCCTCTTCCTCACTGCATGCTATCAGACCTGGATGTTTGGCATTTCCCTGGTTTCAACACAACTATGCAGCCTCTCTCTTACCACCTCAGGTGCTCCAACGGGTTAAGCTGATGGCTTCATTCTCACCCATACGTTAACTTCAACTTGACACATAAAAACTAAGTTCTGCCTTCTTAACCTTGTCTCATTCACTGTAAGATGACAGTTGCACAAGGCTTCCTTCTTACCTTACCATAACATTCAGTTTCTTTAGCTTCTCTCTTCCAGATGTTCATAAATCCATTATTTCCTCTCTGCTTCCAGACGTGTCACCCCCGCCTCTTATTGTTTTTATGGTTCTGCAAACACCTCCTGCCTCCAAGAGGCACTTGCCACTTTTCACTTTCCATCCCACATGAAACACTGTCACTTCTTCCCATTTCTTACCTCTCACGTTTCAAGACTCCATGTAATTTCTTCATCTAGCCTTTATCTCCAGTCATTCCTTCTACCTAACTTCGCACTGCTCAAGAGCCATCTTTCCTGTACCTCCATTTTTAGCATCTTAAACCAATTCTATATTCCTTCAAAACGATCCTTAAAAAATTGTAATTTTCATAACACATGGAGTACAGCGTGATGAAAGCAACACCGACTGGATCAATGGCCTTCTTAAGATGGGAGGAAGGACAGAAAATTGTTCATCTTTACGTCCTTTTCTCACTTTGCTCAACCTTCATGAGGTACCAAAGTCCAGTTTAAGAACAGAATAGAGGGTCAAGGACACTGATGACCAAAGCATACATACTTTTAGCACAAATTATATTATTTATGTTCAGACTGTAACCAACCTGAAATGTTAAAACATTTCATTAACTTCCCCAGCAGTCTAAATGCAATTTACGACCATCAAGAACAAAGTGAAGCAGCTCCCCAGTAGAGCAGGTAGTAAAAATGTAACAAATTCATAGATGGGCAAATTGAAGTATGGAGAAATTACATGCTTTGTTTTAGGACAAAGACAGTAGCAGAGACAAATTCAGAAGCCAGCTATGCTGAATGTCATAGTCTGGTAATTAGCAAAGCACTGCAAAGACAAGTGATGTCACATGTCAACAAACAAGCCCTTTACTTCTAAATATCAATGTGTATGATACAAACCATACACACTGATTCTTTCAAGATTCTTCAGCTCAGGCAGAGTAATACAATTTCTAAGAGAAAAATATTTTTGTAAATCATGGAGTTCTTAGACTCCTTGATAAAATGACAAATGACTTAATTTAAAGCTACAGAAAATTATTTTACTCACTTATTTGATTTTACAGAAAATCATAGTCTCATAGAATGACTGGGGAGGGAAAGGACCTTAAGATCATCTAGTTCCGACATCCCTGCCACGGGCAGGGACGACTCACACTAGACCATGTCGCCGAAGGCTCTGTCCAGCCTGGCCTCAAATGCTGCCAGGGATGTAGCATTTACCACTTCTTTAGGCAACCTGTTCCAGTGCCTCACCACCCTCACAGCAAAGAACTTCCTTATATCTAACCTGAACTTTCCCCTTTCCAGTTTAAATCCATTACCCCTTGTCCTGTTGCTACAGTCCCTGATAAAGAGTCACTCTCTGGCATCACTGTAGGCCCCCTTCAGATACTGGAAGGCTGCTATGAGGTCTCCACACAAGATCAAATATATTAGAAAGAGTACCACTAGAAATATAAACAGATGTAGCACAGAGGTGGTAACTATGACTTACTCATGTTTTTCAAAACACAAATTCTCGTTAATACTAGTTACTAAACCTTACAGCGTTTTGAAACAAGTGCCATCTTCCCCACGGTTTTATGTCTGTGCCATTTGTGAATGTGGTCTGTGTGATAATAGTAGGACCTATACGATCATAGCACTGGTACTTTTTGATACCTGAAATGGATGCTATTGATTTGCTTAGGGTCCCAAAGCCTCTAATTTTTCAGCCAAGATTTTTTACATTATACTCCAGTTGCTCTAGACAGCAGATCCTGACTCAAAAAATAGATTAATCACCAACTCCAAACAGTAAGTAGGAACCACAGGAGTCACATTATTTACAGGAAGCATCAAAATAGTTAAGGATATCACTACAAGTCATACGGTGTACCTGTGGCAGGAGGTACAGAACACAATCTCTTGACTCCAACTTCAGTTCTTGGCTCAAATTACCTCCCACACTCCTCATCTTTGTCTCCTCATACTTATTTACACTACATGGAACAATACAATAGTGGTTTTATTATCCATGTTTAGCACTTAGTAGCTAAATTCTAGTTAACATGTTATCACCTTGCTCTGGCATTTCCTTCAGCACTCCCCTTCTTATCAGCTCCTCTCTGCTTTGTCTTGTCGAAATCTTCCTTTCCAACACTAAAGAAAAAGCACAGTTAAGAATAGATTTATTCTCATACCGCCAATGCTTGTGAAATAGGTACAAAAGGATTTTTATTGTATAGTAACCATGAGAAATCTCATTTCCTGTGATTCTGTAGAAGTAGTCTGGGTTTTCATGAATGCCCTTTGAAAGTATTGTTCCACAACTTCAGACACAGATGAGGATTCATATGATCCAGTATCTTCAGCTGAGCGAGGCTCTGTGAGGCTCCTTTTCCAGTCAATGGAAAGAGGTACTTCCCAGAATGAAACTGAACTCATCCTAGTGTAGGAATTTAACATGTAAAATCATCACTTTCCCATGGACTGGATTGACTAGCTTAGGTGGAGATACCTCCTCTGCTTTATAGATGTTTTGAGTTGGAAGGGAGACAAATCCTGGTCAGAGGAAGCAACTCACAGAGTAGGCTTTGTGACATGCAAACTCTTTAAAAGGGAGAAAAAAAACCCCACCTTAAATAGAAGCTAGAAAGTTGTGTTCTAAAAGGAAGTAACATCCAGGCTGGTTGGCTTTCACGGAAAAAAATACAGCATCCTGTTTTTAGGTTAAAAAACTCCAACATACAACAGAAAATCAAAAAAAAAAAAAAAAAAGACTGTGTCACGAAGCATTTTAACTATTATGTTTATTTCTCATGTGAAAAATGCTAAATAGTTTTATAAGGAAAAGTGTTTACAGATGGCAAAAATAGAATAGCTCCCCACTGCACCCCACCCCTAAACCAATACCAATTTGCTCAGTGGTCTGGGCAGCCACTGTAATGATCTGTGGAACAATGGTGCACAGACCATAAAATGTGAGCATCACTTGTAAAATCCTGTCTTCACTGCTAGGAAAACTTCATCTCCCACCCTGATCCTGTTTACATACAGACATCAAAACCCAAGTGACGTTTGGAGCTCAAACTGAGGGCATGTGGCAAAGCTTCAGCCATGCTGGACTTCACCCTATTCTATGGGACATGGTTATTTATGTCATCAACTAATTCATACACTTTCTAGGGCCAGTCTAACTGCTGCATGCAGATTAAATACTGCAACAACTATTGTCAATCTCACTTGCACCAGCGCAGTTGGAGCGAACAGCCATACAGTGAAGGCACAGAGAGGCAGTTTGCCTCTTCTGAGAAAGTTGCCCTCCATGAATAGCAAAACATCTTTCCCCGCAGCAACTCACAACCAGGCTGGCTGACCTCAGATGTTCGAAGTCATCACTGCTCATGGATTCCTACTCCCCTTCTCCACCATGGAACGGGACAGTTGATCAGAAGATGAAGTAGATTCCGTGCACCTCAAATTTACAGCACTAAATTTATGTCTCACACTGCAAAGTGAGGGGATTCAGCAACTGCTCCACATGGGATGCACTTCCCTGCCAAACTAGTGCCAGCTCCTGGCAGAATAACTGGGTGCAGTAACCATTTTGACTGGCCCAGGTCAAGCTACCTATGCCTGTGAGATCAACAGCTCATGAATGCAAACAGAACTGGCTCCTGAACATGTAAATTAGCATTAGGTCTGTGTTTGTATACTCAGGTACTTCGTGGAATCTATCTGTTAAAGGTCAAACCTTCATGCCCTTCAAATCATGTTTGACAATATAAAGGAGACCATGAGTGTGGCTGCAAACTCTCAGTATAAGTCAGTCGCCTTGGGGAGAGTGTGGTAGCCAAACACAGATCAGGTTAGACTGGGTCCCAATCCTAAATTATTCAAGAGCTCTTCCAATTTTTCCCCATTATTTTTTAAGATATATGCTTTACTGCATGTCACACTCTTGCAAAGAGTTTTTAATGAAGGCAAACACACAGTCCCACAAAGATTGCTTTAAAATTGATGAGGGGCCATGAAGTCAGAGGACTATGTGGGCAGGCACAGATGGAGGGTCTTAATCTTTTTGGAAAGGTGTATTTTCCAGCAGAGTGAAATCTCCTTTGATATAGACCCCAGCGATGAACTCTTTACGCCCATACTTTGTATCTGTTGTTGGGAATATAAGTATTCTCTTACTTCAGCTTTACAAGTATTATTTACTTCCACTGTTCTTCCCCTCCTCTTCCTTTACACATCTTTTTTCTTGGGGACAGTGAACTGAGATGATCTCTCATATATTCATTTGAGGGACTTAATCCAGTACCACTTGGAAATGATGCTGCTCTTTACAGGAAGTTCAAAAACACTGAATCAGACCCCGCATCAGTGTCTCTTTAGTTTTCAGGATGATATGTTTTTTCAATCTACAACACTGAATGAATTATCATGGAAAATGTCAACTGGCATTAAAAGACATTAACTCCTTACATTTTTACTGTAAGTGCCTCAAAGCATTTTATCAACATTGCATAGGTTTTGTAATATCCCTCAGACATAACTATCGCTATTTCAGATTAGAAATTTACAACCAGATAAGAAGCTTACGACCCAATCTTTCATCATCTAAAATGCTAGCCATGAGTAGAGTTTTTATTTAAACTGATTAAACTCAGTTAATTTGGCTTGAAAAGATAAGTTATTTAAAATACTATTTGGCCCACAGAAAGAACATTAGCAATCATGCTAGTATTACTATCAGTATCATCATCATTTTAATTCCTACAAAGAAAAAGGAAGAATTTTAATTTAAATCAAAGTGACCAAAAATATGTCCCCTTGAATAATGAGTAGCCTGTCTAAATACGAACCTCTACTGGATGCTATTTAACCAGGGCAGACTCATCATTAGAATTTATTGCTTATTACAGACTTTGGTCTATATAACATATTTCACATTCACACAGTCAAGTATTTTGATTATCACAGCCCAACTGCACTGAGCTCCAGAAGACTCAAAAAATCCCATGTCAAAATCCTTTCCCTACTGCAGTCAAAAGCAAAGCTTGCCCTGACTTCAGGTGTAACTGTCAGAAAGCAAGTGTATTTATCACACCGTATGCAGCCCTCATTTACTTGAGTAAATCTTACTCAAAGATTTATGGATCAAGGGATCCCACAAACATTTGCATTTTTAGCCCGATACAAATAATAGTTATGCTAATCATAAGAACAAGTTACCTCAGAAAGTAATTTCTATCCCTCCCTCCCTACCCCCACAAACCTTAGGCACTCTTAAGACTCATTCCTTGACTCAAACAACGCTGTGAGATTCTGGATATTTTCCAGTCTTTAGTTTTGCTTTTCCAAGAGAAGCTTGAGAATTTGGATTTTTAATTTTTCTCTGACCTAGGAAGAGCTAAAATTGCCTTCTGCTCCCTGTCTGTATATACTCTTGCAGTAGAGCTTTGAAGTGGCATCCACTTCGTGCCAAGACACAAACTGCTGCCTTCTTTTCCTTCACAGGAAAACATTGCAGAGGGGAGAAACCCTTAAGATGATGCCATTTACTGTTTGTTTTTATTTACTTTTGAAAGTCCTCTAGGCAGAAAGTATACAACCATGCCCAGAGAACAGATTTTCTGAGATACAGCATGGAAAATATGTTGTTAAAGGAAAAAATTCCAACTGTCATTCCCACATTCAGAACAGATACTTCCACATTTAGTCCCCCCTACTTTTTGATGTCTGTGGTATTTGTGTTTCTGAACATTTTTCAGTTGGTATCATAAGAGACTCACGTGAGATTTTGTGAAAGCACTGCCTGATACATGCCCTGGCAAGGCTGGAGCAAGAAGCTATTTCAAAAAGCCTATTGAAAACTCAGAAAAAGCACCAAGAGTTCTTTCCAATAGCCCACATTCTGTCTCAGAAGAAACTCTTTCTTCAGCTGCACAGAGATTTTCAAGTGTAGCCCTGTTAAGAGAATAGGCAGTAAATGTGCTGATCATTGTACTGTCTCCCATGGTCTCAGGCCTGGAAATGGGCTTCTTGCATGCAAGATGCACGCACGCACACGTATGCACAGCCCCCGTTCTGTTATGTAAATAAACCTCTGATCAAGTACTCTGAGGAAGAGGATTTCCTGTAGGATTTTTATTTGATATGGACGTTTTCCCGTTTCTTTCTCAAGTTAGATAAGTTTCTTCTTCTGTGTCAATTATCATGCAACAAGGGGCAACTTGCGAAGTAAATGCACCTTCTCAGTCTCTGTTGGTCCTGGGTCTGTTTCTTCAAGAAATACAGGGATAACTAATTTTTTTTATTCCCCTCCCCAAAACTGTTATCTGAGGCAGGATGAATGTAATCCAAACTACTTTTAATTTCAAATTCCAGCCTCATATGAAGCACATATACAAACACAAGTAATTGCATACCTTACATATAGAGAGTTTAAAAGCAGGTATCTTGCCACAGCTCTAAGCCTTCCTGAGAGCAAAACAGTCTTCAAGCATGTGAAGATATACTTTCATTGCAAGCTAACTTGATTTGTGCTGAAAAGCTACAGCTCATTCATGCTGCAGCTGAGGCTGGTACCCTGTCTGTTTCTGGGATTTCTTGAGACACAACCCTTGCCTTACTGCTGTAGAACAGTACAATTTATCCTTATTATTCTCTATAAGGAAATATGTGGGGAATTCATCTGCATTTCTGGCCAAGACAGAGGAGAAACAGCAGGAGGGCACTGGAAATCAACACAAATTATCCTGGACCACTCCTATAACCACTACTAGTACTAATACTGGGTAACCAGCTTGAATGTAAGGTATGCGTAGCCCACAACAGGCTGCTGGCATAGGTTGGAAAGTGCAGCCAGGCTTGGGAGAAAACACTTGTCTTGTATGTAGATAGGAAGGTAAGCATCAGTAACACTTAAACAGGACTATAAACTGTATGTGCCTTGAAGAGGTACTCCAAATCCTCGCTCTGTGGAGATGAGTCAATACTTAGGTACATTCTTCTTTGTCAACATAAAAGCTCTGGGAACTGTTCTTGTGCCACTTTTATATATCCAACTGCCTGAATTTGTAGGTAACAACTTAGAAAGTTACATCTTACTCTCACATGATATGAAAATAATCTGGGAACCTTTCATTTATTTTTAGAACTCGTATTGTCCAGATTTAATTCTTTTCATCTCCCCAGCTTAAAAAGCCAGTGTTGCTGTTTCTGAGGTGAAAGTCAACATTTGCAGATATTACAAAATTCCTAGTATTAATTTAAGAAAAAAAAAAAAAAAAGGCACTGAAAATTGTGATGGTTGACAAAATGCATGTAAACTGGGACATACAAATACAAGCTGATATACTGAATGTACAAGACGATACCAAAGTTCTGAAAATCTGAAATTAATTTCCTATATTGCTACATTTCTATAATACCACCTAAGTAAATAAAATTTTACAGTGTAGCAGGGTAGATAAGCAGAACATTATTTAAAATAGAGGATATGTACTCCTGTAGAGAAAGAAAAAAAAAATGAGTCTACTGAATAATCAAAAATATCAGAAGTTCCCAAATCTCCTGTAAAATATCTTAAGGTCTGTTCACCAAGACATATATTATATTTTGCATATTTAGTCTTCACAAACTATTAAGGCACTGAAATACTGTAGTTTATATCAGAATGGTTCTGTGTTTTATTAGCTGTTTTATATTGTGTTATTAAATATAATTGCAGTTGTGACTGTATAAAAGCTTAGTATGTACTACACTGATGGCTATATAGCAGGATGCTAGCTAATCAATGAACTAAAGAATGAAAGGTTTTTCAGTATAATTTAAGTCTATATAGATGATAGCTGTAGATACACATGAAGCACTCAGGGTATCAATTACATTAGTTGCTTTTTTGCCACAAACAACTATTAAATATAAAATCTTGTGGCTGGACTTAAAGCAGAGATTTCAGTTAGTCAACTAAGTGTTACATCCGCCTACACTGAACTTTTGCCATCAGCTTTCGCATTTACAGAGATTATTTCATTGTGCAGATAATTAACTTCCACTTGTCAATACATAATTATAAATAATGATGCATCCAATTGACCAAAAGAGCTCCCACTTATATGACCTATGGACTACACTTACCTTTCACCATCGACTCTGTTTTGCTAATTTGTAGTACAAATTCTCCTAACTTATACGGATTTCTGTTTGCATACTAGTGCTCCCCATTTTCAAGAACACATTGATCACAGAAATAAAGTTTCGACTTTGAAAAAAAGACAAGGAGGTCTGTATTACTCTTTAAGTTTCCAGACCTGAAATGTACTGCTGCAAACCCACAGATGAAATGAAAAAACCCCAGGTTGTCTAAATTTTAAGAAGTCATCCAAAAGAGTGGGTCTGTTTTTCCTGTCTGCTTCAGCATGCTTTATTTATAGTAATCACATTTGAGAGTAATTACCAAGTGGTAACCTTCACAGAAGAATGAAAACTACTACTACTTCTTCAGTTTTGCTGGATTTGTTTTTAGCTGGATCAGGTTTGTGATCTGTTCATCACAAAACTGGTGCCAGTACAGAGGAGGCAGTGGAAGCAGACAGATAGAGCTGAGAGAACTGGGAAGACAAATTATCACTTGAAATTAGTTCTGAGGTAGGTAAGATGGATCCTGCTTTCCAATAATCACCTCTTTCTTAAGAGTAATAAGTACAGCTATGCACTGGGAGCACACAGGGCAAAATCAGACTCAAAATGTAAAACGTTACACATACTTTTGCTGTAATGTTACTAGCACCTTAGCTCTCATGGTCTAGGTATATAAATGCAGCAAGGTTCAGGGAGAGCCAACTAGTGTGGCTGTATGGCATTTGAAAAAGATATTTTGTGACTCAAAGTTCGTTTATTTGTGTCTGTAGCATAGTTTTAAAGCTGGATTTTTATTACAGTTCTGAGATTAGTGCCATGCTTGTAAGACTAGATTGAGTCCCTCTAAAGACAGTGCAACATAAGACTGTACTTAACACGAATTTACCAGATATTCATTTGTAAATAAACCCTGCCAAATGACACATGCATTATTATTTAATGGCATAACAATTTAACATATGCTAATATGTTGTGACAGTTTGAGGAATCTCTGTATACACAGTTTATGGTGATTATTCTGAAGAATTCAGTGCATATAAAACCACATACCTGTCCAACAGAAGCTGCAGAACATCCAGGAGTCATTAACTAGAAATAACTTTGCTCTAACAATACGATAAAAGTACTAGGGAAGCTGAAGGAAACTGAAAGCAATGAAGGAAATATCAGATTGAGGGAATTTCTTTGCAGTAGTGGAAGAAGTTGTGGGGGGTTTTCTTGCAGGGTATATGGGAAAATTTCAAGAAAAAAAAAAGAGAGAGACTGAGAGGGGGACTTGAAGATCTCAGAAAGGCTGTCCAAAACTTCAGCTGGTATCTGAAGTGATGGAGACACCAGAGAAGATGTTTTCTTTTTGCTTTTTTGTGTAAAGAAAATATGTTTTAGAAGTTAAATTGTAAAACCAGAATGTTCCCTGATGTAATTGTCAGGGATTGGTACGGGACTAAACTGTCAAGCAGTGTACTTCTAAGAGTTCAGGAGACACTACTGAGGACACCTTAGGAGACTAGTATTGATTTTATTGCCTAGAGCCATGGAAGACAGTGGACAGAGGGCTTGCACTGTTATAATGAATCTGAAGAGCTCATAGATGTTCACTGGACTCTGATTTGACTGAAGTTTACAAAAGCACAGCATCAAGTGCCTGAATCCCAAAACAAAAATTTGGGATTTTTCTGGATAAAGCTTGGCCAGAGCTGTGACACACAAAGACACACACACATATGCAGGGTGGCATTCAGTTTCCTAAACTTGGGTGCCTACAGCCACTTGAGATGCCCAACAGTTTTGGAAATGTCTGCACAGAAATGGCAAATATGACACAGAATCTTCTGGGGAGCAGCCAAGGCAGCCCAGAGCATCTCAGGTGGCACCAGGCAACAGTGTTTAGCTAACTGAATCCCAGCCCTCAATATTCCTCTTTTTCAGAAGGAATATAGTTCAATCACAGCATTTAATTTCAGATCAAATCTTCAAGCCTTGCCAGCGGGTGAGTGAGGGGGCAGAAGAGCCTGTATGAAGGCAGTGGTGGTAAAGCTGATCCTTGTTCTTCTGCCGGGCACAGCCATGTCTGCTTCTCCCCTCTAAACAGGCCAAACTTCTGTCCCCATGAAGGCAAGGTTTGTTTCATAATGCAAGTCACTGACTATTAGGAGGACACAGGGACATTTCCAACATATTTGAAGATATGTAACATAGAGCCTAGTGTTTCTTAGTTAAAAAAACAAAGTACTGTCAACATCAAAAGAATATCATATATAATGTTTAATAAACAAACTGCCTGCTTTTAGTGATAAGTTCAGAACAGAAGCTGAACAAGATTAGTTTTTTCCTTGCTAAGGATCAAACTGTTTTCTGTATGTCAAATACTGCCTAAACAATCTCTGCCATCTAAAAAGCTTCAAGAGCTTTCCAAATATTACTCTGCAAAGCCATCACAGTGTTTCCTATTCTTTGCCACCAAAGGGCCACAGACATACCTGCTGACGTTTCTCTGAATTTGTCACTAGTCTTCTTCTTTCGCCATTTCCAAGGTTTAAAGATTTTGCCAATGGTAGAGAGTTTGCCCTTCCTCTTGAAAGGGGGAGTTTGGGATCCTGGGGCCGGTCCATCCGAGTTAGCGATTGAAGCCTTATCCAAACCATCAACTGTATAAACAAGAAAAGTAAAGGTAACTGAAGGATGGAAAACAAAATGGTACCCAACAGGTAAACTCTTCCACTATCAGATTGCAGCAGGCTGTGTTTGGATCCATGTGATTTCTGTTCCACTCAGCAGCCAAGGGCTGTTTGATTGCAGCCTGTGGTCAGAAGCCAGCCTGCACCCCAGCTAGCCCTGGGCTCCACTGCTGCTCAGCACCTCAACTGCAGCAAGGCAGAACTTGATTCTCATGATGCACATCTGGCATGTCTGCACAGTACTGTGATTTTGCATCGCTACTGGAGAATTTGGGTGACTTTTTGCCTTCCTTTGGCAAAGCTGAATAGCTGTCACCATATAGAAAACAAAACCCTTGCAATGTAAAACCAGAAATTATTTCTTCTGAATGAAACAAATCCTTTCTTGAATGAGCTCTAAAGATAATTGTTCTGGAAGTGGAATGAAAATAGGTCTCTTTGATATCCCTGGTAATCAGTCATTCACAGCACAGCCTGCCATGAGTCAGGTTCCTTATTAACAAAACATATTTAACAATAAGCTTTTGAGCTATAGCCAAAATTTGAAGGAGAACTACTTTTCTGCAAAAACATATTGGGTGGTATGAAAGACAATATTTATCATCAATGGCTCTAACAATTGAGTTTTGTGAACCAAATTAAGACTCATTCCACAACATGCTGTAGCATACAGTTAAAATAAGTTTTGTGGAAATTTCCCTGAGAACTCTACTAGTATTTATTTCTGTTTAAAAACTGAGGTTTCTTAGAGCCTCCCACTCATGGTCCTGCAAACACTTCAAATGTTCTTAATTTTATTCACGTGAGCAGCTTCACTGAAGTAACTGCGATTACTTACGTACATAAAATTAATCACAGGCTTAAATGTTTGCGGCATACGGGCTCTGCAATTACTTTCATTCATCTAAACATTCTAATTATAACCAATTCAGAACAGAGTAGATGCCACTCTGAACAGTAATAATGATAATCATAGATCATTAAATCAAAAAGTGCTATTCAAAGAAGGAAATATCACTGTCCCCATTTTACAGATGGAAGATATGAGGCACAGAATTGTTAAGTGCTTAATTTTATGTTTGCCAAATGGCTTCCTGAGTCCTGGTCCCGTGTCCTAGTTGCTAAAAAGATACATATTCAGACACATAACATCATTGTACAATCTTATTATTCTGTTTCTCAGACAAATGGCATTTAATGAGTCCTATATTTGTCCTAGACTTCAGATTGATCCAGGATGCTAAAAAAAAAAGAAAAACCAAAACAAAAAACCCCAAAAACTTTCCTGTGAGAAAGCTGATGTAATGCAAACAGAGTCCAAGAAACTTTACTTCCAATGTTTTGAAATAAAGTACTGGGAAAAAAGATCCATTGTATCGCTTCATTCAAGGCTGTAGAGTTAAAACCAGAGATAAATTTGTATGAAAATGATAGCATTTAAATCAATAAATCTGAGTTATACCATCAAATGTAGTAAATTCTGTACTGTCAGAGAGAAGCAACAGAGATATGGAAAACTTCTCCATGACAAATTACTGTTATTCAGATGGACTGGAATTTAAAGCTTTTATTTAAGTGATTTCCTTGGGTATTTTCTGATCTGCAACATGGACAGAAGATAGAAGAAAGTCATGCAGATGGATTTGAAATGTAAAATCCAAGATTATGACAAGGACTCGGGTATGTCTAGCCCTTGAGCAAGTACTAAATCTGAGCTTCCTCACCTGTGCACCCTTGAGAACAATGCAATCTTTAGGGAGGTTTAATCCAAGACTCCCTTAAAACCAGCTGCCACCCTACAGACCCTGGGAAGCTGGATGAGAGGTGGGGATGAGAAGACCACCAAAGGCAGCAAGCAGCTCTTCAGAAAGAGAGGTGTATGGGACAGCAGAAGGACCCTGTCAGAGGTGCCTTGCCTGGAATTAGGGATTTCACTTTTGTATAGGCTTACAGACGCTGCCTATGGAGTGCAATTCCCTATGGCCTACAGAAGCCTCTGCTGAAAACGATGTATCTAAGGGAGAGGTACGTTTATTTGAAGGGTAGTTACAAAGGTAAGAGACCTAAATTTATCTTGGCAATTCCAGTTGATATAAGAAGAGACAAGGACCACAACTTGCGGCTGGGAACACTCCATTAAGATGTAAAGAAAATACTTCCAGAAGGTGGGTGGTGCAGCACTGGAGCAGATCTTGGGAAGTTTTGGAGGCTCAGTCAGTCAAGCCAGGGCTGACCTCACCTAATGTTGGTAACAGCCCTTCTCTGAGTGGGGGACTGGACTGAGTGACCTCCCAAGGTCCCTCTCAATCAAGATTCCCATGGCCCTAAGGGATGTGGAAAGACACAGTTGCTCTGTGAAATCTGCATTAGTAAATCCAAAGAATCAGAAGTGAAGTGCTGAAGAAAGGATACTAGGATTTGTTGGCTGAAGAGTTTTGTCCTGGGACAGAAGCCAAGCATTATCTTACTGGCAGAGGCAGTCCATCAGCTCATTAGAGTGAAAGGCTACCCGCCCCATGAAGGCAGCGGGACAAAACCCATGTTCTTGTCTCCAAATGGCTTAGAAAGGCAGGGTTATTGATGTGAAGAGCCTGCACCCTGGTGATAGACAGCATGGTCTTTATAACCACTACAACATGGATCTTTTCAAATCCGCCGGGGTCATGGAGTCCAGCTGATTGCAGGCAACCACTTCCACAAAAGCCTCATCTATGTTTTTTCCTCCTGTGTCTACCAAATATGGCTCCAATAGCTCCCCACAGAGAAACTTGGAGTTGCATCAGTCACTGCTCTGCCCTCTGCTGAAAATATTTAACTCTGAAATAATGATATTCATCCTAGGAAAAGAAATCTGCCTGCTTCAAATGAGCTAACATATGAAAAAGGATCCATGTAGTGGTGAATAATTTGGGAAGACTGCAACTTCTGAAAACAGGATTCAATAATAACTCCTTCTAACAATAAAAGATGAGGAGTTGATTTGCCAAATGAATTCAACAAGTGATCAAAATTCCTTCTTTGTAGTTCAGAACAAGTAATTGAGTCACTGATGACATAATAAAGGTCAAACCCAAGTAATTAAGTAGCTAGCTACAGTAGGAGTATACTAAAAACATTTTTTTTGGTAGAAGAATCCTTTACGCATCTGAATACTTTTTAGCTTCCTTCTCTCACATCTGTCCACATTTACATTTAGTTCTAATACGACGGAGTTTATTAGATAGACTTTGTTGTAATCTAGTAGGGAATGTCTTCTAAAATTGCTGTTCAATAATTCTTATCTGAACGGTACTTTAAATAGAATTTTGTGCTGTGTGGCCAACAGTAACACATGATATGAAAACCATGAATCACTTCAATTTAGTCTTACAGGCACTCCACACTAATAACAAGTACACTGTAATCAATACTAATAAGTGAAGTTAGTTTTTCTTGTCACAAACAATCTTGAGATCCTGGAGTAAAAAGCACTTAGGGCTACATCCAAGAAAAGAAATAAGGCAGAATTTAGGTGCGTCTGTCAAAAGTTGTGCTATTGGGAGCCTGAAAAACTCTGATTAGATGTTCTGAAGGACAGATGCTGTAATTCACAACATCAAAACTATCTGAAATCTCTGCTTCTCTGTACATAAACCAGCATCTGTACTGGAGTTCCACAGCAGAATCACTGTGGTGATGAAGGCAGCCTGGAAAGTTTTTTCTCCTCATTTCCATCTGCTCATTCCTGACCCACAAAAAAAAATGCCATCCCTTCAGTTGTAAAAATACAACTGTTCCCTGGGCTTCACCGCAAGTAGATCCCTTAATGATCCAGATCAAAAATGGCCTCCGCCCTCTTTCGTTTTCTGAAAGATTATTTTTAGTCTTGGACACTTCAGTAATTAGTCTTCAGCACGATCTGACAAACACTTAAGTGTCAGGGCTGGGTGAGGAGTGGGCTGTGGCATGGGGCAGGAGCCAGTGCCTAGGCTGGGCAGGAAGCTAAATCAGCTTCAGGACACCCGAGCCATGAACCTGACAGCGCCACATGGCCTGGCACATACCATGCCTACAGCATTCAAAGGGTAGGTAGAAGACTTGGGTTCCTTCCCCTTCCTGAATACACGGTGTTGAAACATGCTATCCTTCACTTCCCAAAGAAAAATATCCCAGCTGGGAGTACGAGTCATGGTCCTCTGCAGAAAGCAGTTTTGGGGCCATTCAGCCATGAGCAAGAGAGAGAACATAAGGGGAAATGTGATGCTGTACTAGGGTAGCTAAGTTCACCCATTCACAAAGATAAGGGAATTCATATATGGGTGATGTAATGAGTATGGGCTTTCCGCAAGAAAAAGTCACTGTACTTCAGATGAGAATGTACAGCACCACTTGAATTTTTCTGATACTGAAAAACAAAAAGGCATTACAGGCTTGCAGTGCTATTAAGCCTTCCAAATGAGTAGTCAGAAGCGTTCTTTTCTTTACTCTGTCTCCCTACTCCCCTCACCAGCACTGTTCTCCACAGCTGTTCTAATCTTGCTGGTAAACGGGGATGTTAGGTGATTCTTTCTCACGTGAGGGCTGTTAAGTACAAGATGGTACTGGCAGAATGGCAGGTTCTCTTCTTTTCCCACCCCTCCGGGTGCTGAACCTTGCATGTTGCAATTCCTTCTCCCACCCACCTCCCTCAGAGGACTAGTCACCTGCAGTTCTTCTTCAGTTATTCTGCTCTGGATCCTTGTTATACAGCAAGGTACAGAGCAGACAGATGAAGGAAAGGTTTGTCTCCTGCCTCTCCTCCTCTGGGGAACATGACCAAGAGGGGAAAAGACACAGAACCAAGTCCTCCACCAATATCGAGGTACTAAGGTAGTATTGACACCTAATGCTGTCAGTAGTATAAGATATCTTACAGTATTACCATGATATCACTACATTACCCTTAAAGTGCAAGGACAACCTTTTTGCTGGAATACAGGTGACTCAGGGTC